TTTAGTACGGTGCGCCTTATGGTCGTGAAAGTACGGGGCCTAAGTTTGTTATAAAGTCCACTATATAGTCCCGGCTGTATGTGGACACAGTAAGCTTGTATGAGCTATGAGAACAGCACGTTTTAAACAGGATGAGCATGGGGAGAAATGAGCGTGTGCATGCTCTTGCACGCAAAAAATTTTTTTAAATGAAGGGGGCGGTTCTTTTAAAAAATTCCTCCACAATACCTTTAATTATATCTGGTTAAACATTTTTGGTTTCAGTCTGAGCTAAATATTCCCTTACTTTGGGTACAAAAGTCATTCACGTATAGGCTTTTTTAATTCTTTCTGCAACCACAGCTTTAATACATTTCTAGAACATTGATTGTGAACAAGCATACATCTACTGTATCCTTTCATGAACAGGTACAGTTTCAAAAATATACAAAATAAGTTCACTTAAACCACATACAACCTGCAGTGATAAACATGAATACTTCTGGCTGGACATTTTACTGCCTTTTTTTTTTTACAGAAATTGTAAAGATAACTTTAACAAGATGGATTGTTAAACATATTTTCAAAAGACTTTCCTTTTTAGATTTTTAATGTTGTCCTGCCTCAAAGGTAACTGTTTGGGAAACGGTTACCCTGAGGTAGTATTTTCACAAACAACAGAGGAGCCATTAAGGCTTCAGCACAGCCTAGCTAAAATGGATGCCAATGTTTATTTAACCCTCAATAAACTTTTCAAATGAAGATGCATTCTCCAAAACCCTCACTAAATTGAAATTAAGTATTGAAATGTATATTGAACGAAATATTTTTGCCTTTCAGAGATGTTGCACCTGTAACGACAGAAATATGCTGAAATATTAGCTGCCTGTTTATGTGGCAAAGTTTAAAATGTTTAAATTTAAACTGATTCAAAGCTTTATGAATCAATGCATTATATTTAGCCTAGTAAAGTGAAACCAGAAAGCAGGAGAGGAAACCAGCATCATTATTTTGTTCATATGTCAAGCGCTGACTGACTGATCCATAGATTACAGAGCAAAAATATTCGCCCAGTTTACACTACCCTCTGAAAACCAATCCCTGCCAAGCTTGGATCAGTTAACCGTGCCGAGCGCAGTTCCTTACGACCATTTACACACCATGCTACGGTACTACTGCTCTCTAGAGGTAAACAAGCAAATAAACATGGCAACACCCGTAACATTTAAGGATGTTTGCAAAGAGTCAGGCAAAGAAGGCAGCCTTTGGTGAATTTACTTTACAGAGTTGGCTTTTGGGAAGTGGATACGACAAATTATAGTCTAATCAGGGCTTACAGAAGCATGAAACAACGATAGGAGTTGAGGATCATCACACTGCTAAGCAGAATCATCATTTGAAATCGGTTGGCACAGTAGGGAAGCTAGGGAAGGATATTTATGAATGACTGAAATTTCATGATTACAGAGGCTGACTGTAAGGAGATGACACAGTCTGCTCATACACTCTTTGTTATTAGCCCTTTAAAGCCCGATCCAAGAATAAAACAAAACAGAAAATTACTTTTTTTTTTGGTTTGAAGTCGTTATTTGGCCGTTTAACAAAATATGTAAAAAGAAAAAACAGAAATACATTTTTGATATTAATATTGCATATTGCAAAAGGCCACCACAATTTCTGCCAAGTAGAAAAGACAAACACTCAGCAGGGATTATGTCTGAAGCTCACTGCGATGGTGCTTTAAAACTGTTCGAGCCAAAAGTGTCTGATTTTCATCAGGATCATTAAACTAAATAACAGTGGAGCTGCAAGCATATTGCATAGCCTTCATGTATAATTTTCATCATGTTTAGATCAGATAAATATAAACATTTAATCTTTACCTAGAAATTTATTATTTATTTTTATTGTTTCCACTAACAGGTCAAATACATTTTAAAGCAGTAAAATCAAAGAGAAAATGTAATTAATTAAGTAAAATTCACATCCAATAGGTGTAAAGGTAAACTTTAGACTTGAATAGGTCTTTATTAAATTTTATTTCATTCTTATTTTTAAATGAGGGTTCTTAAAAAAAGAGAGCACATTTAAAGGAATATGCAAAGCAAGGACATAAACTACAGAGAGAGATTTTAAAACTCCTACCATCTAAATAGACGTCACTTCCAAGTTCTGCGTCGACCCAAAACATGGAGGCCACAGCTCCTGCAAAGAGGAGTATATTAAAATGACAAAATAGGAGAAAAAACATTTAACTGGACTTAAGGACAAAGATCTGCTTCATAAGTTTATGAGCTTGTGCATCTTTTTAATGTTAAATATACTATTTACAGTAAAACTTTACAACAAGGGCTAAAGATGCAACAAATGAGACCATTCACTGTGAAGACATGAATGATACAAACTCTAAAACACACACACAAAAAACCCCAAAACAAATGTAACAGAAAAAAAACTGCAAAAGAAAAAAAAAATGCTGCAATCAGATAAATAAGATACAAGCAACAGGAAAAATGTTGCAAAAAAAAAAAACAGCAGTGATTTCACCAGACCGCTAGAAGGAGTCAATCACCAGGCTATATGTGACCAGACTAATATGGGACAAAACAAGGGTGTAACTTTGTGATAAAAGTTGGTGGGGACACTCTAAGGGTGGTGGCTGATAGGGTTTATATTTTCCAAAAATGAGCTCAAACATATTTATTGAATGCTTTCCTATTGTTGAGACAACAAGAGAACCGCAGTACACATATTTATATTTATAGACAGATGCCTGCCTTTAGTGCATTATTTATAAAGGGCTCAAAAACATTCATGTATAAAAAATGACGAATAACAACCGATATCCGATGCCAACAGCAATATATCCTGCATCCCTAGTATGGACACAACTTCAATTCCATGCATCCATCCATGCATGGCTTCCCTTTAAGCTGCATCAGTGATTATCCTCCTTTACAAGCAGCAAAATCTAATATAGAAATTTGTCCCATATGTCGTTGACAGCCAAAGTCTATGTATTGAACCGTATATTTCAAAAATCATTTATACGCTGATTTGTATTATTTGCGCTTTAATTCTTGTAGGTTTCTTATATTTTAATTTTAAGTCTGTGTCCTGTGAGTCCGGTTGTCTCTGGGTTGCTGGCACAGCTATTTCTGAGTCTCGTTGAACTACAAAAGACAAAATTATATGTTGAATTTTAGTATAGCATACCGTCGTTTTTTTCTTGGAGACATATTTTATTGCATGTTGCATATCCCTGTAAATCTGTTTCACCTTTAAATCTGCAGCTGTCCCTAATTGTGTCTCTGCTCTGCTTAAAATCAGATTTATGAACCTGTCTACCGATATAATGATGCCAGAGAAAATCATTTTCAGGAGCTAGGAATTAGAATTAGGAGCTATAATTTGCACAGAACCTAGATTTCCCAGTATTACAAAAAATGTTGTGGTAGTAACATCTGACTTGGTGACTGATTTCCTCTGTGTTTTGAAGCTAGATTTCATTTTTCTCTCTTTTTTTTTGAAATCATGCAGCTTTTTGTAATCACAACATATTTGCATTTGCTCCTTCCTATTTTGTATGATTGCTGCATTTTTCTGTTTTCAGGCCTATTGCACTATTATCAATTTTAGAATTATGGTTTATTTTGCTGATTCCTTAAGAATTGAGATCTATAAATCAGCAGAGAGGTTCAAGGAATATTACAATCATAATTAATTTAATTTAAAATACCCTCTTGACCTTCTTTTGTCAGACAAAATGCTAAAAAAAATTGACACAGCTTGAGAAGGGTATTTTAAACAACCAAAATGTGAGATGTGATGCATGCCTGTTTGTATTTAAAAATCAATCTTCTTTGAGCATTTCATATTTAAACTATTCTTTCAGGCTGAGCTCAGATAAACAGATAAAAGCAATTTCAGAGGCTATCAATTGTTTGAGTCCTTCTGGTACATTTGGTTTGTTTCCATTTCACACGTTTGTCAAACTGTCAGCAGGATGAGTTAAAAAATGAGAATATTTGATGGATGCATAATGCTCACAGTTTTTAAATGGCATGTTTCAAATAACTTATCCAACCTACTGCTGGACAGAGCAGAGGAGAATCCTCCCAGGACTCTCTATGATTGACAGAGCTGTCGGGGCCAATGAAGGGCCTGTCGGGGTCAATAACGAGCCAATGACAAGAAAGAGGAGCAGGGACAGCCCCGGTCTGAGTCTGCTCTGTTTGTTTTGAGTGAGAGCTGGGATGGCGACTGTCTGCCTGTAATGCTACCTCCTGACACCTGTCACTTAGCAACATACCACATTGCTCGCCCTTTAATAGCCTAAAGCTGATTTCAACTTTACCAACAAAGTGATGAACGGACAGTTAGACGCCTTCCTGGCTTCCCATTGGTGTTGCTGTCACAGAAAAACAGCTTTAATCTTCACCTTATCAGAAAATGTCCAACTTTTAATGGGAGATTTTAAAAGTATCAAGCGAAAATATCAATTCGAACATGAACAACAAAGAAAAAAGTATTTAATAAATGCTGAATCTTGAACCATCTAAAAAGGGTGAATATTTTTTAAACTCTTGTATAACTTTTGATGAGTGAAATTTAATAACATTTTATAGCAGTAGTTTCACAAAATTTTTAACCCCAAAGTCTGTTATTCCCCAAGAAAAAAAAATACCATTTTGAAAAAAGGTTTTATTTTGAACTCAAAACAAAGCTCACTCACAGGAGCTGTAACATTCTCTTTCTATAAATTTTTTGTTTTTTATTTTTATCAACCAATCAGCTTATTCAATACATCTTTATTATCTGTTGGCATTGGATTGGATTATTTTATTAGACAGCTCCGGTGTTCTGTCAGATGAGCATACCGTTTATCCCTTTAGTTTTGTACGAAATATAAACTGTAAATTACTTTAACGGGTGCGTATCCCTTTAGTCATGTACAAAAAAAACCGATTGAATTACTTACTTTTTTTGGTGTTTTTTAAGCATATGGCGATCTCACCTTAAATTGTTTGTTTTTTTTGTACACGACTTAAGGGATACATGCCCGTTGAGGTAGTTTAACGTACAAAACTAAAGGGATAAATGCAAATCTGACGTTTTGCAAATGCGTATTATGGGTATGCTGGTCTGACGAAGTATGCTCATCTGACAGAACACCAGTTATCCCGAGCTGTCTCTGCAGCTATATAATTAAGTTGCTGGAGGACACAGGGACCGCTTTTCATCATTCTTCCTGTATTTTCCAATTTTGCATTATTTGTTAACTCAACTACTTACTGAGACATCAAACCCCAATGACTTCAAATACAGATGATCAATTTGGGACTGTAATTTAGTGTTTGGTCCTGTTTCTTTCCTAGATATACAGTAGAAAAAGGCTCCCCTTTTTTCTGTTTATAACTATATTTGTTGTCTTTCATCCTTCCTGACATGAAAACCAAATCAGAGCTCATCTGTTAAAGTGTTTCTTCCCCAGACAGATCCACCTATGGAACTATTTTACTGTTACCTTTACTAACATACAAATTATTTATGGATCAGTGCTTCTATGTTACTCTTTTATGGCTGCTTCTATCTCCTTGAAATCTTGTTGTTCTCGGCATATGGCCGCTCACACTGAGTCTGGTTCTGCTGGAGGTTTCTTTCTGTTAAAAGGGAGTTTTTCCTCTCCCCAGTCGCTGCATGTATGCTCGGTATGAGGGGGTTGCAGCAAAATCAACAACTGGCCACTGTCACCACATCGTAATCCAGGACAAGTAAATCCTGCAAACTCAATGACTCAGCTGAGTCTTATAAACTTTACTCAATCTATGATCTGACTGAATTGTCTCTTAAAGGTGTCTTGAGATCAAGTGTTGTGAATTGCAGCTAAATCAATTAAGTTAACTGAATTACACATGGCATAGAACAAAAAAACATTTAGGTGAGTATAGATTGGTGACAACCGGGTTGGAAGGGAAATGACAATTATGTAGATTATGAAAGTTACAAGATGAAGATTAAAACTAAATCCTGAGCCAACGGTTCCCAATCTTTTCCTGCTGATCCCCCCTTTAGGTACCAGTCTTTCTTCAGCAGGGATTGAAGCATCACTGACTAAATAATATCTTTTCTGGCCAAAGTTGTGAATACAGAGAAAATGTCCCATGTAATCCCTGCAATCACAGTGAAACTAGTGTTTTATGAAAATCAAACCCTATTATGAATTTAGCATGATGTGTGTTACCAGGATCAGCGAGTCCTGTAGTTTCTAAAAGGATGTAGTCGAACTTTCCTTTCTTCTCCATCAGGTTCTCTATGGCTTTAAGTCCATTATCCCTGAAGAAAAAAATAAATAAATGTGAAAAACCATTACTCATCATTTAAAAGTCTTTATTTGAAAAATACTGAAGTGATCTTTTCTTTTCTAAATCATGCTATAGAGATTAATAACCAAGTTTGAAAGAGATGAATTATTATATATAATTATGTGACGGTTTGTTGAGAGAGATTAAAAGGTTTCCAAAAATGCAATCAGATTATTCCATACTTTAAAGTATGAACAGCAATCTTTTTCTTCCGGTATGGATAACCGTGAAGCAAAAAAATAGTTTAATTTCCCTTACATTCCCCTGTTAAGATCCAATTAATTAAATCGAATGAGGAAGGAGGTTAAATTAAATAGTCGCTGTTTGAGGACTTGTCAACTTTGGTAGCAAGTTTCAAAAGAAGCTTCAAATGTCAACAAATCCTGGAGGTAAACATCATTTTCTTTAACATAATAAATCAATTAGAGAAACCATTTGTTCCAATTTTAAGAAACAAGAATAGAAATATTACTTTTTTTCTATGCAATTCTAAAAATTTATAAATGAAACAAATCCTAATGAATGTATTTGAAATGAACTTCAGTTCCAACACATACTTAACAGAGCAGCAGAGGCAGCCGTTTCTCAGCTCCAGCCACTCCTCATACAGTTCTCCTGCCTGGCTCACTGCAAGCGACTTCTCAAGAGCGCTTCCTGCAGGAAAAGAGAAAAGGTGCAGGTGGAACAGAGGAAACAGCTTTCAGAAATACTATAAAGGTAAAAATAAAACTTCAAACTTTTTTAAAGTACATAGTGGTTTATAGTATATATAGTGCTGTTTCTTTTCCCTTTTTAATAACCAGATTATCTCAGATCAGCTGTATTTCAAACTCTTGGACTTGTTTAATTTGAATTGGATTGTCATAAACCAAATACAGATTTTTGAGAGCACCCTGATGCATTTCAGAATCAGAATCAGAAATACTTTAATAATTCCAGAGGGATATTACTTTTGTTACAAGCTCCAGTTACAGTTTTATATAAATATATATATATACACATCCAACCACACAAGATAATAAAGATAAAAATAAAAAAAGATAAAAATATATACACAATATAAATACAATATATTTAATATTCTTTTTTAAAACACACCACAGGTCCGGCTTTAAACCAAAAATGCAGATGGTCTAGATGTTAAACAGAAAATCAGTGCAGTGGCAACTCTAAGATACTTTTAAAAACAGAGAAAAATACGATTTTATTTAATATGATATAAATCAAGGATCATAAACTGTTTATGTACTCTATCTACTTTTTGAATTACTATCCAGAATAGTAATCCAAAATCTCTAAAAGCAAATTCTACAATTTTCTAGAGTACATATGATCCCTTCAAATAAATGATAATTTGAAAAATGCTGTCAGAGGTGAACTGTAACAATAACTTTGTACCATTCCCTTGGTACCCATTCCCTGCATATAATCTAAATTCCCTTAGAATGGACACAAAAAATAATCTAGTCATTATCTATCTATCTATCTATCTATCTATCTATCTATCTATCTATCTATCTATCTATCTATCTATCTATCTATCTATCTATCTATCTAT